TGTCAGCCTAGCTCACAGCAACCTCAAACTCCTGACCTCAAGTGATCCTCCCACCTCAGCCTCCCAGAGTGCTAGGATTACAGGTGTGAGCCACTGCACCCAGCCAATATATGTACCACATTTTGTTAATTCACTCATGAAATCATGGGCACTTAGGTTGATTCCAAATCTTTGCGATTGTGAATTGTGCCGCAATAAACATTCTACTGTCTTCAGGTGTCTTTCTGACAAAATAACTTCTATTCCTTTGGGTAGATACCCAGTAGTGGGATTGCTGGATAGAATGGTAGGTCTACTTTTAGTTTTTTGAGAAATCTCCATATTGTTTTCCATAGAGGTTGTACTAATTTGCAGTCCCACCAAACAGAGTATAAGCATTCCTTTCTCTCTTCATACACGCCAACACCTTTTTTGGACTTTTTAATAAAAGCCATTCTAACAGAGGTAAGGTGATATCTCATTTTGGTTTTAATTTGCATTTCCCTGATGATTAGTAAGGTAGAACATTTTTTCATGTGTTTGTTGGCCATTTGTCTATCTTCTTTTGAAAAAGTTCTGTTCATGTCTTTTTCCCACTTTTTAATGGGGTTGTTTTTTTCTTACTGATTTGTTTGAATTCTTTGTAGATTCTTGAGATTAGCCCATTATTGGATGTATAGTTTGTGAATATTTTCTCCCATTCTGTAGATTGTCTGTTTGCTCTGTTCATTTTTTCTTTTACTGTGCAGAAACTTTTCAATTCAATCAAGCCCCATTTATTTATTTTTGTTGTTGCTGTGATTGCCATTGGGATCTATTTCATAAATTTTTTGCCTAGGCCGATATCTAAAAGAGTTTTCTCTACATTTTCTTCTAGAATTCTTATGGTTTCATGCTTTACTTTTCAGTCTTTTATCTATCCTGAGTTAAGTTTTGTGAGTGGTGAGAGATAGGGGTCCTGTTTCATTCTTCTGCATGTGGTTATCCAATTTTCCCAGTGCCCTTTATTGAATAGGGAGGAACAGTGCTTTTAAAAGCTACACAGTACTTGTTTTATTACTGTATCTTTGTGATTTTATTATGAGAACTGTTATTGTAAGAACTCTAATTCGTGCAATTCTGTTCTTAGGTCTTTTTAAGATTGTGGCTGATAAAACTCCGTATCTTAGCATGGAAGAAATTACAAGGACCATTCATATTGGAACAAGCAGACTAGGGCATCCTTGCTTCTATCATCAGAAGGATATAAAACTACAGAATCTCACCATAAAGCAGGGGGAGCAAATCATGCTCAACTCAGTTGAAGAGATCGATGGAGAAATAAGGGTGAACTGTGGAGTACTAAGGAATCATCAAAATCACTCATTTACTCTGCCTTTGTCACAAGAAGGAGAATTCTATGAATGTGAAGATGAACATATTTATACGCTAAAAGAGATTGTCGAATGGAAGATTCCCAAGAACAGAACACGAACTGTGAAACTTACAGATTTTTCAAATAAATGGGACTCAACAAATCCATTTCCTGAAGACTTTTGTGGTACTCTGATTCTCAAGCCTGTTTATGAAATTCAAGGTGTGATGAAATGTGAGTATCCACTGAGAATGATGGTCTATGAGCACAAGCATTG